AAGTAGCGCTTTGTCATGAACTGAATAGCTCTTCTCTGCAACTTTGAGCTGGCGAGACTCAAACGCAATCACGCGTTCACGCCCTTCGGCGTCTGCTTGTAGTAAAGCACAACCGATTGCATAATCGGAGGCGTCACAGACGACGCTAAACGGACTATTGGGGTCCGGTAGCGCAAGGATCGGAGCCTGGAGGAGGCTCTCCTTCACAGCCTCAAAGGCTCCGTCGTGCTCGACGTTCCAGCACCATGGTGCGTCCTTCTTAAGGAGATCTGATAATGGCCGAGCCCTCTCCGCGTAGTTCGCACTGTACGTGTGCAAGTAATTGGCTACGCCTAGCCACTTGCGTAAGTCTTTTTGGTTCTTGGGAACCGGCCAGTCCACGATGGCCTTGACTTTGCCAGGATCTGCCCGTAAGCCACGCTTCCCAATGAAGCACCCGAGGAAAGGTATCTCCTCCGCGCCAAAGACGCACTTGTCCAAGTTGGCATACACCTTATTAGTGCGCAGGCCCTCGAGCACCGCTCGCAAGTGGTCAATGTGGTTATCCACGTCTGACTTTCCGTGCTCGACACGACTATGGACGAATATATCGTCAAAGTACGTCTGAGCGTACGCCCGGTGGGGCCTAAACAACTGCGTCACAAGACGATTGAGCGTTGCTGGTGCGTTCGGCAGCCCCTGGGGCATGACCGGCCACTCCCAGAGCATACCGCTCGGAGTACTCACCGCTGTCAGCGGATGTCGCTCGCTCTCAAGAGCAATTGGTAGTAACCATCGACCAAGTCGAGCGCGCTGTACAACGTACAGCCTACCATGTTGTTCTGTAGAACATCCTTGCGAAAAATCGACGTTTGCGCCGGGATAGTGGGCGCATTTAGCTTATTAAAAGCATGAACAATGCGCCACTTGCCGTTCGGCTTTCTGACACAGACCATGGGTGTCGAGTGCGGAGACTTACTCTCTCACACCATCCCTGCCTCGTGCTTTGCACGGAAGAATGCGTCAATGCCGTCACACTGCTCTATCGGCAAAGGCCATTGCCTTGTTACGCAGTATTTGGTTCCAAGAACTAGGTCAATCTCATGACACACTCCTCGATCCGGAGGCAGGCCCGTCGGTGGGTCTTTCGAGACAGCGTCTCCATACTCCTTCACCACCGGGTAGAAGGGATCCGACGGATTTTTAAGGTTCGCCGATCCACTTCTTGCGCTCAGCGCCTTCTTGGTGTCCTCTAGGACCGCGTCGTCCACGACGGATGAGGAGTTCAACTCCTCCTCAGGTCCCAGCAGGACCACCTCGGCTAGCTCGCCTGCCTTTAAGGCTTCGCCAAACTCGGCAATGGACATCTCGTCCAGCTCTAGCAGAGCATCTGCAGCGGACGGAGTGTCAAGGCTGATATCGTCTTCTACCTCCCCCGTCACTCCGTTAACGAGTGTATACAGCTGTTCACAGCAATCACGTGGAGCATCACCGCTCGACACGCTGGACACATCGTCCGACGTCGAAGACGTCACAGATGCCCTGCGTCTTCTTCTCCTCTCCCTCCGCGACCGAGCCCGGCCGGATGAGGGCGGTGTGGCGACATCTCCGTCACTCCCGGGTGCAGCAGCACCATCACTCCTCGAAGAGGATACAGTGTCTCGCAAGACACTTGGCTGAAAGCCAAGAGGTTCTTGACCTTCACACAGTACACTAGGTGTCACTTCACCTGCATCTCCTGGGCTGCGCCCATGATGCCTCGACTCGCAGTCGACCGCGACCCTCGGGTCCCGCAGCGGTAGGTCATCGACCAGACTCGTACCACTCAGTGGATTACGCGCCACTCCCCGTTCGTCCTCACCAGGACCCAGCAGTTGGTCATTGACCTGACCTGCACCGCTCAGCGGATAACGTGCCGCACCACGTACGCCCTCAGGGCAAGCAGCCACCTCGTTGCTAGCAATTTCGGACATACCAATGTCCAGCACTACGGCCGCCTCGGCCTCGTGTTCGCGCCAAAAGCGCTTCTGCTTCCTAGCAGAGGTGGGTTCATGACTCACCAAAGCTCCACTAGGAGCAGGGTGCGACGCACCAAGCGTTTTCGACTTCCAGTCGATCCATGGATCGTGGCGGTCCAGCCATGCCAGGCCAAGGATGAGGTCACACCTCGCATCCAGGTCTAAGGCCAAACCGCGTTCCACGCTTTCGAAGCTCTCAAACTTCACTCCAAGGTCGACAGAGACCTTCGACACAGTTACCAGTGCCCCCGTCGCGAGACGGACAGAAATCGTATCTCTTGTTAGCACTTCTAGTGCCTCAGCATACAGCTGACTCCCTTCCAGGGTGGGGCGACGGGCGTAGTTTCCCGAGGCTCCCGAGTCAATTAAGACTCTCCATGGCTTTGTAAAGCCCTTCACGTTTGCTTGAACGACCAGCAAGCCCGGCTTGCACACACTCTTCTCGTAAGAGAGCTCAGCTCTCTTCGGGGCTGGCCTCGTTGCCCTCTACCTCTTCGAGGCACAACAGAACTCAGTTCTTCCCCAGTAGGCCGCCCCGCGCCTACTAAGAGTTGCCGTTTCTCGGCGATGACCCGGGGGGTTGGCTCGCCGGAGCCCCGTGCTTCTTGCGCAGAGGGCAATATGCCCTCAAGTGCTTAGTGCTATTGCACACAAAGCATCGGCGGATGCCGACACGCTGCTCCGCAGCGAGAAGCTCCGCTTCCTCATCTTTAGTATAGCTGAGGTCCATCGGCTCTGGACCGCTCGAAGAGCTCGCGCTACCAGCGCTCCAACCAGGTCGCGCCGACCTGAAGTTGTGCTCGGCATTCAATGTCACATCCACCGCCTCTTCGAAAGAGTTAGGGTGTACATGAAACACTTCCGTTCGATCTGCGCTCACACGAAGTCCCTCCATAAACACGGTCACGCTGACCAGTTCTGGAAGAGGGTCCGCCGCCATTCCGGCGATAAGAGCTCTCAACTCTTGGACATAGTCCAATAGATCCTTTTTACCCTGGCGGATAGCAAGGAACTTCGACCGGATACGGTACGCCTGATTAGGCGGCGCGCGACACGCGCGAAAGCTGTTGCTTCAGCTGATCCCAAGTGGGAACTGCAGCGTCAACAGACGTGCCGCACGTTAGTGCCCAATCGCGAGCGCGACCTCCAATCCTGGAGATAGCCAGCGCCACTCGCTGATGCTCAGACTGGAGCAGGGCCAATCCCATGGCCATCTCGATCTCACGGATCAAGAGGAGGAGATTCTCTCCATCCTTCCCCTCGAAGGTTTTTACGCTCACCATGAGCGGTTTCAGTCTCAAGGACTCTTCACGCGTCATCGACGCCGCCGCCGTTGCGACGCTCATCTTCTCTTGAGCGTGCTCCAAGAGCGCGTTCTCGTAGCGGGAGAACGATTCCATCCTGGGTGTAACCGCCTCTGGACCTTGCGATGCAAGATGAGCCGCGCTCTCCGGGCCAAGCAAGGACATAAGCTTAGTAAGCGCACCCTGGTAAATTCGCGAACACGGGGTATTCCATCCTCGCAGAGGATATAGTCAACCGACTCAGGAGCGGGATTGACTACAAGTGCTACCAAGTGCAGCGGGACTGCCGTAACTTTAGCGTCAGAGGAAGACGTTCGACTCAAAGAGTCACTAATACTAAGTTCCTTAATTAAAGGACACTTACAGCCCAAGACCAGGGCTCAAAGTTAATACCTTAACTTTTATGCTTCAAAACCAGAAGTGTTTTATTTACTATTATTGCGGCCAAACCGCCTAGGGGTAAATGTATCTGTTTAACTATCTAGCATAGCTAAACCTAATCAAATGCATAACGTGTGGATTTCAGCCAACGTACTGAGAGACCTTGTTAACTCTCCGGGTACTATATACCCCTGTGTGTTCCGCACCATGTAACCCCGTTACAGCGGCTTAGGTGTAGCTGATGGCAGACAAAGAGCCCGGTACCACGGCGGCTAGCGCGTACGTGCTCCTGTACCGCTGGGTGGCAAGCACCAACGTCATGAAGGGATCTCGGGTGTGTTGGGACGACGCAAAGCTGGCGTGGTCTATCGTCGCGCTCGACAAGAGCTGCCCTCCCGGTACATACTTCACGGCTCCCGCTGATCAGTACTGAGTTGCACGAGGCGCAAAAGATCACAGACACGTCGCTAGTGATAGACAGTATGTAATCTTTGCGCTAGTGCAATTGAGAATATGTTAATGCCACAAATAGAAATATTAAACCACAAAAAATCCATTTACCTGCCACATTTAGTTTCGCTGCTCCAGAACTTCTGCGACGCCCGCTTCTGGCCCAGAAGCGGGCGTCGCCTGATTTGGGTGTCGAGAGGTGTATCTCGGGACGTCTTTTGCGACCTGGGCGTCCGAGGTGTAAAACCGCGGATACACCGGACGTCGACAGCTCTAGTCAGAGCATAAGACCACGCGTAAAATTGGGATGGGAAAAGGCAGGCATCGATTTGCTTTATCTGTGATCGAATTACCATTTCAAAACGGCAAAAATGGTCGAATTACAATATATCGATGCGGATTTGGTGGTTGATCGGTCGATTTGGTCGATTTATCAGCCAGTCAAGCTAGATCGATGTGTACTTTTTATAGACCTCGATTTATTAAAACGACCTCTATGTATTAAAAATCGAGCATCAGGCTAAGTGAAAAGGACAAAAGCATTGAAATGTACAATAAGTGATACAGCTTAGGACGAACAAACCTGTAAAAAAAGCTATGAGCTTGGCGGGAAGAACTGGTATCACGGCGTGGAAGGTGTACACGGCCTTACAGACTTCTATTAATAATTTCAAATACCGGTAACGTCGTAAGATACAACCTAAAGTGTCCGGCGATTTCCGGTAGCCTTTCAGTACAGTACATGTACTTAGCTTACTACCGGTACTGATCAATGCTTTTGTTGTTGAATTCGGTAATACGTGTTCATGTACTACTTGCGAAGTAAGGGTGCTTATAGTGTACGTGTTCGTTGTAAATACCTATTTTTTTATCTCTCAACGGCGTGCTTGGTCAGAGGTAGAAGGAACATCTCCAAACTCAAGCCAGCGCAATAAACGAGCGACGTGATAATAAAGCACATGCGGTAGCCATACGCATCGATCAAGAAGCCACCCAGCACTGCACTGCCCGACCACGAAAACACCGATAGACCTTCCAACGCATTCCAGCGCGCTCGAATGTTCTTGGGCACATAGTCCATCAGGATCGAGCGACGCAAAGGCTGAGAGCAGCGCATCATGCCCCCTCGCATTAGGAATAACACTATTTGGAGAGCCATGGGTTGCGCATATGCCATCGAGAAGAGACACGCCACGGAGAATGCTCGGGTGAAAGCGATAATGGGCATGCGGCCACAGGGCTTCGACAGACGTTGTGCAGCAAACGAAAGGATCATAACGACGAGCGGCTGGCTCATGAACAGCGCGCAGACGTGGATGGGCGTGAGACCGTATTCCTCTTTGAAGAATAACGGAAAGAAATTAATTGTCATACCAGCTCCGTTGCTGATAATAAAGTCCGATACGAACAGGATATAAGGCACGTGTTTGGTGCGGAAACAGAGG